CATTATTTTTTTTACATATGGTAATAAAATATCAGAAGTGAAGGCTTATAGCTTAATTGTTTCTACATCACAGAGACATTGCCAGATATTACCATTAGGGGAAAATAAAGAATAGATTTGGACATAAAATATTTTTAGTAGTTAAATCTAAAAAGTTTTATATTTTTTAGGTTAAGAGAAAACACACCTCCCTCTTTCCCTCTTGGAATACACCTATGCTAGACTATACTTAACTCATTTTTATATTAATAATATATGAAATGGTTTTATACAGTTTTTCTTTGCAACATTTAATATATTTTATTGATATTTACCTATCATATCACAATATCAAATAACAATGTTTTAATTGTTATTCGATATTGTGATATGAAAGATAAATTTTTAAATTTAAATAAAATATACATATATAATAATTTTTAAAAATTTAGCTAAATATTACAATGTAAATACCTGAGATGCTGCACAAGATTTAAAAGCTTTGAAAACCACATCTACAATTCTTTGTGATGTTAATACATTTCCTCCTACAATAGCTGCATCTTGTGATGGTGACAATATTGATCCTTTTGGAATGATAACTTTTACAGGTGCAAGACAACCCTATACATTTATTTATGTTATTATTTTAAGAACAAAATTATTTTTTTATTAAAAGTATTTTGTAATTACCTGATTTAGAGGAACATCATAGCCAACCATACAGCGTAAACAGTATATTATTGCAGACAGTGTGACAGCTTTTGGAGCATTACAGTTTCCATATACTTCATAACCAGTATCATTAAAATCAAATATAGCAGTTCCCTAATAATATGTAATCTTAGATATAATAAAAAAAGAGGATAACAACATATATACATCACATGTAGAAAATTTACTTGATTTTTATCTATTTGAATCTGAAGTTTAATCATTGTTCCATCATCCATGTAATCTTCAGCACATAAATTTACATAGTTATCTGAGAATGAAACTTTATTACCAATTTCTTTCAGCATATTTCTAACAGCAATTTCTGCATTGTTCTGTGAATATAAAGCCATTAAAACATATAAATCTGCAAAAATTATATTTTAAAATATAATTATACTATATTATAAAAAATTACATTTAAAAATCATAATCACGTTCATTTACATAATTTAAAAATTTTTATTTTACAAAATATCTTGCAGTCTATAATAATCCTTTATCATCATATTATTATTGAAAACTAAAATTAAAATTATTTTGATGTTAAAACTTATCATTTTTAAATAAAATTTTTATTGTGTTTATTGTGTTATTTAAAAAANTTGTGATTTACCCCATTTTTCTTCTCTTTTCTCTGTATGCAGCCCACGTCATTTCAAAAATTTCAAAATATGGCCTTACATAGAAAAAGGTTGCCTATCCATAGTCTAGATGATCCCTAAATTGTCATTGGTGTCTTTTTCATAAAAAACAACTTTACATTTGATAGTGTTTTTTAATAGTAATTAGTTAAGAAAAGAAGAAGAAACATATCAAAGACTAGTTTAATTCTTTTATTTTATTAAAGTAAGTAATATTGCAAAAGAAAATATAGAAAGTATGTAATTCAACCCTCTTTATTGTTTACTGCATCACACATGTATATACTTTAACCTGCAAATGTCTTGGCAAATGCTTTAAAAACATTTAATTAGATGAGCAGATGTAATTACAGCGGATTGTAAAATAAATAGGACATCCGATGTCTGTTAGATGTTCTTTTTTTTCTGAACTTCACTCTACTAACTGTTATATAAACACTCTTTATTTAAAATTATAAAATATTAAATATCCAATTTTTTCATCGAGGCCCCTAAATAAACTAAGTATCATATTACAGGCAGCAGTTAACATGCTAAACATTGTCTCTGCAATTAGTCCAGAGAAGTGTTAGATCTTACCAAGGAAAATGGTTTATGATCAGGAACTTGTTCTCTGAAGATTCCAGAAGGAGATAGATATTTTTCTACCAAGTTGGATTTGTGTCAGATTCGATATAAAGCATCATTTATTTGCACAGTCATATCTTTCCTGATGTCAAGTCCCTCTTGACATGTCATAAAAGGAAAAAGTTAAGTCATTAGGTTGGGCAATTACACCAGCTACACAACAGGTTCTTCCCCTCCTGTCCACTGCTCTAAAGGTGTTCAGATGTTCTCACACAATGCTGAAATGTGTCAGGGCATCATTGTGCTGGAACAGCATGTCTCTGTGCATGACAAGGAAAACATTGTCTATGAGCTTTGGAAGTATGTTTTGCAGGAAGCCAAGGTATAATGTCCAAATGTGGCAGCAAGATGACAAGTCCCAGCAGATGATTACAGACAGTACTGCTGTCAGTAACAAATACTTTGTATCAGCAAAAATTGTCACAATTTGAGTTTTGTTAAAAGCAACCTCTATATATTTGTTTTACTAAGTTTTATGGAAAAACTACCAAAAATCAAGTCAAACAAGTAGGAAATTGTTAAAATGTGATCTTTCTTTGTTCAAAATTTTGCAGATGTACTCAGTAAGAATTTCGTATTTGATTTGTACTTAATAAAAATATGGTATTTTTACATTAATGAATATCAGATACAATTATTATGTTAAGTACATTTCTAGATATGAGTTTTCTTTAAGCAGGACTGGACTTCCATCATCAACTTGAGCTGTTGCTAAAGAAGCCAAAAACAAAATACAACTTTAATGATTTTTCAAATATTCTTAAAATGATTCAAAAAGTATGATGATTTGGCATATCATTCTATTACTAAACCTTCTGATTATTAATTTCTTACTTTTTGATTTGCAGCAACTTGTGCTCTTAAATCAGAAATATTATCTTTAAGATTTCTTGTTCCACTGCTACCAGGAATTTTTCCAGGTTCCATTAACATTTCTGTTACAGCTGAAAAATTATAAATTCTTTAAAATTTTTACTTAGTGTAAATTATAAAAGTAATTTTATAAAATCATATATATTATGATTCTGTAACATTATTTACACACATTATAAATAAATACTTTTAATAAATATGATTTAAATGAATTTGAATAAAATTTTTTTTATAACAGCATTATTTATATTATAGTACATAAAGGTAATAGTGTACAGGGAAAACCTGATAACTCGACACCTTACTGGAAAAGCTAAACATGTCGAATTTTGTGGGTTGTTGAGTTAGTGAGGTTTTGGAAAATTTTAATTGTTGGCAGTGTCATTAAATATAGTACTGTATATACAATTTGTCATACTTTTTGTGTTGTCTTTCTATCTTACTTCAACAGACAAAATAATAATGAAATTGTTCAGCTAATGAAAATTTGCAAGAATGTAACCATTTTTATACATGTTTAAATTATTGTACTGTATTAGAGTACAGTAATTTATATATAAGAGGAAAATTTGAATAATTTTCAAAAATTTTATTGACAAAAACAACTTATCAAAAAGGTATCATTTACAATATTCTGTTATTAAAGTTTGCTTCTGTTTTAACAAACTACATAAGAATAGTTTTTTTAATAAGACCAATGTCATATATCAGCATGTGTTTTCTCATAGGTTCTGTCGATTCAAAAGCCTTTAAAATTTTCTCCTTATTCTTCATGAATGTCTTATCATCATATGTGGGAAGCTATATTCTAGGACTTTTTATCAATTTAAAGTATTTATCAACTTATTACATTACTTTTAGTAATGTAATCAAACTAAAAAGTTGTATAATGTATCCAATTATATAAATTTTTTTCTGACATTTTGCATTACAGTAAAAATTTTATTGTAATATTTGGCATAAAAT